TGAACAGACCGCTCGAGCAGTGATTGAAAGCTATTAATATCTCTACTTTCTCGAACAGACCGTTTGAGTGGTAAAAAGTGCACTCTAGTGGTGAATCAATGCTTGTAGTATGTCAGACAATTTTGAAAAATAGGGCTGGAAGGGTCTATGGACCACTTGAGCAGTAAAACTTACGCTCGAGAGAACTATGCTCACAGTTCAGATTTGCAAACTTCGAACAAGCCTAACTCTTTCATCCAAACTCCATTTTGGGTTGCTCTTGTGCCTAAATCAAAACCCTAAAAATAAGCTTTTCAATAGTTCTAATTTCATGTTAAGATTCAAAGTATTGAGAGAAAAAATGGTAAAAAAATGAATACTACTCAATGAGACAATTATCTAAATCAAAGTTTTTGGTCTAATTTTACTCCACCATCATCAAGGCTCCAAAAGTAAAATGATAAGCCTGAATACATAAGTTCAAGTCAGTTTCAAGACCCGGGGTATCACAACCCTGCCACACATGAGGCCATACCTACCCAAGTCTAATTTTTATAGGAGGCCTTTTACACTTTTGTTTTCCGTGCTTACACCGAAAACTTGAATATTAAAGATGTCACACCCCAAACTCGCCCCTAAAAGTTCGGGCATGACCTATACAGATACGGACACATAACCTGATATACATCATATATGGGGCCTAAACGAAAGCATTTAATATTACGAAGTAACATAGAATAACATCCATTGAGCTAAAACTAACATGCTAGGATCACATACGTGAGAGCCATTTATCTATATACATACCCATACACATAAATGAGCGTATATCCGAACATTGGTAAAGAAGGGTATATACATACATTTTAACCTTAAGTAAATAAATAAAGTGCAAGCCAAAATTTTAACAAAACTTCACATAAATGCATGGGCTTGGTCTGGGAGTTTGGGCATACTGAGGTTGACAATTGAAGGGTGAGCATCAAGGGTTAAGACGGACTTCCAAAGTAATTACCTACAGAACAGACATAACACAAAGTGAGCGGAGCTCAGTGAATAATAGTACATAAATGATTCAATGCACAACTTGAAGTATAATACATATTAATGCATGCATAAAAAGGGTATAAGGTTAATTGATTCTGCACTACTTTCATCACGGCCTTAAGCCCAGTCTTGAAACATAATGACTTAAAACATACTATCTTGAAACAAAATGGCTTTAAGCCCTTGAACTGAGTGGTAATAGGCCCTTGAACATATTGGCATTAAGCCCTTGAACTTGTGTGTATGAACTCAAGAGGTGGCTCGCACGGATTCTAGAGATGACTAGCATAGCAGCACTTAGTTCCGCACAGCACTTTGTTTCATACTAACAGATCTTACAGATCATACAAAATGGCCATACGCCTCATAACTTTCACAGAACAGCTTTCAGCCTCATAACTTTCACATATGTATGGACTCAAGAGATGGCTCGTACGAATTCTAGAGGTAACTCGCACTGCAATACTTAGTTCCGTACAGCACGTTGCTCCATACCAAAAATACAGAATGGCCTCTGGCCTAATTGATCATATAGAATGGCCATAGGCCCAGATTAGCTTTAGGCCTAGTTCATATATGTATGGATTCAAGAGGTGTCTCACATGGACTCTAGAGGTGGCTCACAATGTAGCACTTAGTTCCAAGTAGCACTTTGTTCCATACCAGTAATTAATAACCATACATATCATGTCAAACTATAAACGGAAACAAATTCATACATATGCATTATACTTGAATCATAAACAGAACTCAGAATTCATACTTGATTATATTTGGCACTTCGCTAGCGCTAACAAATCAATAAAAAGCATTCTTGTTAGTTCCATAAGGGAATCCTCTGATACTGAAAACTTATAACATACGTGAACTTGTAACATACCTAAACTTGTGCATACTTGAACTTGTAACCTATGTAAACTTGTAACATCCTTGAACCACGATATTATTACCCCTGGGTAAGGGTCGTGAGCTACGGATGTCATGAGTACTTTACATATATGGACAACTGTTCATTAAGTTAAAACGTAACATACCCGAACATAGAGCATTTCTTGTTATATCATGTCATTACAGTACACTTAACAAAGACAGAACAGTTTACATCATAATGTGAGTCACATGACAAGGTCATTGATATTTAATTCTGTCTTCAGGTTGGGTCATCCGTAAATCAATCCGTTGCTTATCATAATGCTTAGCAGGTATTAACGTATAAAACAATCCGTGGTCTTAACTAATTATTCATTAAGAAATGGCGTAGTTCACTTGATCAATTAATAGCATATAGAAGCATACACCTTTGTTTGATCGTTCATATGTGTTACCATAGTTGACTTGTACTTAACAGAGTACTAATGGTAGCCGTTACATCATTCACATGAGTTAACATAGTTAACTCAAGTTTAACAGGACATTCCTAATAATTATTAATGAGAGATAAGCACATTTACAAATTGAATGATTTCAGAGATACGTGAATACCATGGTTCCATAGTGCTTGTACGTTCCCTTTGTTCATCATGAATCACTATAGCTATCTTGCAATTAACAGAATGTTAGTCTTCTTTGTCAACAGTAATATCGCTCAATAATGCCTCTAGATTTTCCAATCAACACATTGTTAACTTGATTACTTGCAAGGAACAGCATATTAACGATAAAAATCATTAATGATAATTGAATGTATGACTGCCGTACTACTACTCACAGTGTTGTGGCGGAGCGCTACTTCCCCCTGAAGCGTGTCCTACACACATGCAAAGTTCACAAATTAACTTCCATTTTTCCTTGTCAAATTACTTCCTGACTCATTACGTTCGAATGAATTTACAACCATCCTAAGATCATCAGAAAAATATTTTAAAAATATCAGAGGGTCGAGCACGCGAAACGGAGCCGATCATTTTTTCCAGCTTGGGCCGCACGTGCGGCTGTGAGCCCCGCACGTGCGGCAGTGCTTCCCACACGTGCGGCAGTGAGCCCTGCACGTGCGGCGATCTGGGCAGATTACAGTTCGAAATTTCAGCAAAACTCAATTTTTGGTGAGTATTCTTAAAGCTCAAAATAGATCTTTTAATTGATGAAATATGGTTCAAAAATCATAGACATAAACATTACAAACATATATCAATCCCAACATAACCATTACTAACATTAAATAGCTTATCTTGACCATATCTCCAATCAACCAAGTGACAAGAGCATTTCTCAATTCAATAATTGGCACACACACAACTTTAATTACAACCCCAAATCTTACAAATGAAAGGGGGAATTCTTACTCAAAGTTAAGAAAAGACTTAATTAAAACAAAATTCGCATACCTTGAGCCTTAAACCCTACAACTCCTCTCGATTCCCCCATCTTTCCTCTTGATGAGTTTCTTCCTTTCAAACCCTTTCTTTCCTTCTCTAATTTTCTTCTCCCAGGAGATATTTTGAGCTAAAAGGCTCTTAAGTCCCAATATATATATATAAATATAAAGTTAAGTTATATAAGACAAACCTTAATCAATTTAATCTCTCCAAACCAAATTTCTACAACACATGCTTATTAGTACATAAAAATTACGACGATCTCAAATATAAAATAAATTTCAGATTATCAAGCCGCTAAGGTGTTCAATTTCTGATCTGAACATCATAATTGTGACAGATATGTTTTCTTATTAAACAGATATGGATCTATAATTACAAGGTTCACTTAATGAAACTTAATTTTCCCATGAACCTTCACAATAAGCATTTAAAGGCACAGAATAAGGGGACTGAAAATATATCAAAAAACATGTATGAGGGTCGGGTTATTACAAAAGATGTTAGATGCTACAAGGGAAAAATTACACTAACTCGTAAACACTCATCAAAACATAACTCGTCATACTAGGAGTCCAAAAATGTATACTATGACGATCTCAAATATAAAATAAATTTCAGATTATCAAGCCGTTAAGGTGTTCAATTTCTGATCTGAACATCATAATTGTGACAGATATGTTTTCTTATTAAACAGATATAGATCTATAATTACAAGGTTCACTTAATGAAACTTAATTTTCTCATGAACCTTCACAATAAGCATTTAAAGGCACAGAATAAAGGGACTGAAAATATATCAAAAAACATGTACGAGGGTCGGGTTATTACAAAAGATGTTAGATGCTACAAGGGAAAAATTACACTAACTCGTAAACACTCATCAAAACATAACTCGTCATACTAGGAGTCCAAAAATGTATCGGGACATTTATATAAGTGGGTTCAAGTCGGGTTTAAAATTCGGGACACTACATTATCTAAACTCTTTTCTTACTTATCTTTTACAATAGTTACTTTCTTACCTTTATCTAATATTATTATAAGTCGAATTTCATTTATAATTTTTAATTAATTGTCTTTAATTTTTTCATTAATTTCTTTTAATAACTTAGGGGATGTTTGATAATACAAGTCAGTACTTCAAATTGAATGTATTAAGTGATAATCAATTAAACTCATTTAATAAATACAATTAATATCACTTAAAAATTTAAGTGTCTCTTAAAATATAAGCTAAATGTTAAGAAAATTTAAAGTTATGAAACTTATTTAATTCTGACTGAATTTATAAACACTAAATATAAACATTGATATACACTATTATAAACTCACTACCACCGCCACCATCATCGCTACCACTCCTACTCCTACCACAATAACTACTAGGGCTGGGCATAGGGTCATCTGACCCGCCCTATCCGAACCGAACCGCACGCATGTGAGTGGTTTCGCAAACACATTAGGCTAGGGTGCGGTTTGAATTTTATATAAATTTCGATTTGCGGGCGGGTTGCGGGTTTGAACCGCACCCGCCCAACCCGCCCGCATTAAATAATTTTTTTTTCCTCTTTCAAATCTAAACCGTCCATCTCTTCTCTCACTCACCTATACTATAACAAACAAAACAAAAGAAGAAAGAAGCCCTAAATCTAATCGGCTCCTCTCCTCCCTCACTCTCTCTTAGTCTCATCTCACTGTCTCTCTTTCTCACTCTCTTCCCGTTTCTGCACACACCGATCACTCTCATCTCATTGCACCGATCATCATCGCACAGCACAGCCGATCTACTTCATTCACAGGTGAACTCTGTCTCTCTCTCTCTCCCGATCGTTGATTTTTTGTGGATGAACAACAGAACTGATTTTTTTTATCTCCGATCTACTTCACAGGTGATCTCGCAAGTGATCTCTGATTTTTTTCATCATCGCACAGCCGATTTTTTTCATCGCACAGCCGATCACTCTCTTTCTCATCTCATCGCACCGATCATCATCGCACAGCCGATCTGCTTCACAGGTGAACTTTCTCACTCAATCTCTGTCTCTCTCTCTCCTGATCGTTGATTTTTTGTGGATGAACAGATCTGATTTTTTTCATCTCTGATTTTTTATTTTTGTTGTGGGATCTGATTTTTTGTTGTGGGATCTGATTTGTTGTTGTGGGATCTGATTTTTTGTGGACCAAAACAGATCTGATGGGATCTGATTTTTTGCAATACCTCTCGAACTTGTCACAGCTCTGATCATCTTCTTGGTTGGATTCTCATCATCAAGAAACAATTTTCGTTTTGAGACTACCTTGAAATGCTAATCGATTCAGAAAAATTCAATAAATTGAGTGAATACATCTTTCATTCTTAATTATTTCTCTATCATATGATTAAAATCAAAGCAATTTGTTATATGGTGGAAACGCCATTTTAAATCTGATAATAATTTTGTTTTCAATTCATAGAAAAGGAAAATGAAAATAAAAATGGTTTTATTTTTTTTACTGTGTTCAATTGTTGCAGGAACAAGAAAATATATGTTATGTTACAATTCTTTTACTCTTTACACGATTTTTACAAATCCAATATTATAGTGAATTACATTTTTATAGTATTTAGAACAAAATATGAAAACCTTGTTCTGAATTACAAATCAATTTTATTTATTTATTTATGTTCTTACCATATTGTATTGCAAAACAATGTAGTATTATATTAGCAAGTTGACAATGAAAAAAGTTCCATAAGTTGGAATATGATTATAGAATCTGGGTAAACTATAATTGTCATAACAATGTACTATAATTGTCATAATTGATTATAGAATCTGTTTGTTCTATTTGTTTATTTAATGTCTGTAAAATTGATTCTGTGATTGTATTTTTGTAATCTAGTTTAAATGGAGGATAGTATTCAATCTCCCGCAATCAATCTTATACCTCCGGAATCCTCTAATTCTCAAATGAATCCTCTCTTAGTCGAACCCGAACCCAAATTAAGCCTCCTAGAGCCCCAAAGAGAAAGAGTGAGAGTGGAGAGGGGATAGCACCATCCATAGTTTGGGATCATTTTGACAAGGTTGTAGGGACCGATGGGAAGCGTAGAGCCGTATGTAAATATTGTAAGAAAGAATATATGGCTGACTCTAGAACTCATGGGACTAGTAATTTGAGGAGTCATACACCCAATTGTAAAGAATATCCAAATAGGGATACAGATGGTCAACAAACACTAAATCTTAAACCGAAGCAAAATGAAGAGGGTGTTGAGGTTATAGCAACAATTTTTAATTTTGATACTTGTAAAAGGGCTCTTGCGGAGATGGTGGTCATTGATGAATTGCCATTTAGATTTGTGGAGGGTGTTGGGTTTAGAAGATTTTGTAATGTCATGCAACCCAAATTCACACCAATTCCCTCTCGTCAAACCATATCTAGAAAAGTGCTCAATATATTCAAGAATGAAAGGGATAAGTTAAAGAAGGCCATGAAGGGTTGTAGAATTTGCTTTACTACGGACACTTGGACATCTATTTAGAATTTGTGTTACATGTGTTTGACTGCTCATTTCATTGATGATAACTGGAAACTTTAAAAAAGAATCATAAATTTTCAATATATAGACATTTGTTTATTTTTTCATTTCTTACTATCTATAATTGAAGATTAAAGTTTATATTTTTTCAATTTGTTTGTGTAGGGTTAATCAACCAAATGCATGGAATTAGAATTGGAATATGTGAAAGTTGAATTGGATGTGATTCATGAAGATGAAGTTTGATATCTTAGAAGTGTTTTAATTTTATTTCATGGGTTTGTATTGAATGAAGTTTAAGTTTGACAACAATTTTTTTTTTTATTTTGGATGAATGTAAGTTAATGAAGAATTACTCTTTTTTTTTTTTTTGGAGGTTAGGAATGATGAATGTTGAATTTTTAATGTAGGATTTTCTTATTTGGATTATGAATGATGAATGTAGGATAGGATGAATGCAAGTTAATGATAATGTAGATTTTGAATGATTTGTTTAGGTTATGAATTGAATTTGTTGTGTTTTTTTATTTTATAAGTTTTTTTATAAGCTTTAGTTCATTAATTATTAATGTTGGAGCATTTTAGAAAATATGAGAAAAAAGGTCCAAAATAAAGATTGACAAAATGGGAGAAAAAAAAGGTTTAAAAATAATTTTTTTGAAAAAAAGTTCAATCCGCAAACCGCCCGCAACCGCCCGCACAACCGCAAACCCTATCCGCACAAACCGTCATATACCATATTTTCGTGTTGCCATAGAGTTCTAGAGTCAGCCATATACTCTTTCTTATAATATTTACATACGGCTCTACGCTTCCCATCGGTCCCTACAACCTTGTCAAAATGATCCCAAACTGTGAATGGTGCTCTCCCCCCTCCACTCTCACTCTTTCTCTTTGGGGCTCTAGGAGGCTTAGGTTCAGGTTCGGGTTCGACTAAGAGAGGATTCATTTGAGAATTAGAGGATTCCGGAGGTACAAGATTGATTGCGGGAGATTGAATACTATCCTCCATTTAAACTGGATTACAAAAATACAATCACAGAATCAATTTTACAGACATTAAATAAACAAATAGAACAAACAGATTCTATAATCAATTATGACAATTATAGTACATTGTTATGACAATGATAGTTTACCCAGATTCTATAATCATATGCCAACTTATGGAACTTTTTTCATTGTCAACTTGCTAATATAATACTACATTGCTTTGCAATACAATATGGTAAGAACATAAATAAATAAATAAAATTGATTTGTAATTCAGAACAAGGTTTTCATATTTTGTTCTAAATACTACAAAAATGTAATTCACTATAATATTGGATTTGTAAAAATCGTGTAAAGAGTAAAAGAATTATAACATAACATATATTTTCTTGTTCCTGCAACAATTGAACACAGTAAAAAAAATAAAACCATTTTTATTTTCATTTTCCTTTTCTATCAATTGAAAACAAAATTATTATCGGATTTAAAATGACATTTCCACCATATAACAAATTGCTTTGATTTTAATCATATGATAGAGAAATAATTAAGAATGAAAGATGTATTCACTCAATTTATTGAATTTTTCTGAATCGATTAGCATTTCAAGGTAGTCTCAAAACCAAAATTGTTTCTTGATGATGAGAATCCAACCAAGAAGATGATCGGAGCTGTGACAAGTTCAAGAGGTATTGCAAAAAATCAGATCCCACAACAACAAATCAGATTCCACAACAAAAAATCAGATCCCACAACAAAAATAAAAAATCAGAGATGAAAAAAATCAGATCTGTTCATCCACAAAAAATCAACGATTAGGAGAGAGAGAGACAGAGATTGAGAGAGAGAGTTCACCTGTGAAGCAGATCGGCTGTGCGATGATGATCGGTGCGATGAGATGAGAAAGAGAGTGATCGGCTGTGTGATGAAAAAAATCGGCTGTGCGATGATGAAAAAAATCAGAGATCACTTGCGAGATCACCTGTGAAGTAGATCGGAGATGAAAAAAATCAGTTCTGTTGTTCATCCAAAAAAAATCAACGATCGAGAGAGAGAGAGAGACAGAGTTCACCTGTGAATGAAGTAGATCGGCTGTGCTGTGCGATGATGATCGGTGCGATGAGATGAGAGTGATCGATGTGTGCAGAAACGAGAAGAGAGTGAGAAAGAGAGACAGTGAGATGAGACTGAGAGAGAGTGAGGGAGGAGAGGAGCCGATTAGATTTAGGGCTTCTTTTTTCTTTTGTTTTGTTTGTTATAGTATAGGTGAGTGAGAAAAGAAATGGACGGTTTAGATTTGAAAGAAGAAAAAAAAAATTATTTAATGCGGGCGGGTTGGGCTGGTGCGGTTCAAACCTGCAACTCGATCGCAACCCGAAATTTATATAAAATTCAAACTGCAACTTACCCTAATGTGTTTTAAAACCGCTCACATGCGTACGGTTCGACTCGGATAAAGCGGTTTGGGCGGATCGGATGACCCTATCCCCAGCTTAGTAAGGGCTGGTTTGGGGTGTCCTAAAAAAGTGCACTTTTTGTCTTTTTGGACTAAAAAAGTTGAGAAAAAAATATGGAGGTTTGGGTTAACTTTTTGACTTTTTATGGAAAAATGTGTATTAAAAAATTGTATAAAAAAAGTGTGTAAGAGATGATTAGAGAGGGGTGGGCCCCAGCCGTACAACCGGCTGGAGTGAATTGGAGTTGGAAATTATTGGCTAATTTTTGTACAAAGCACTGGACGATTTTGTTTGGCCCGTGGGGGTCATCACGGGTCCCATTTTAATAATCTGAACCGTTCAGTGTGTGTAACTCGTCGAACGCTATGTACCTATAAAAATCACGTTAATCGGATATTGATAGCTATCTGATCAGATTTATTTATTTTTCAATCATTAATTATAACACCATCCATTTGTTGTACATAACTGATTTGATCATATAGTTATCGATATCCGATCAATATGATTTTTTGCAGACATATAGTACTCGATGATTTCTATACATTGTACGGTTCAGATTATTAAAACGGGACCCGTGATGACTCCCATGAGACGAACAACGGTGTGTGTAAAAACCACACCCAATCATTTCTTTTTTCTCCACTGCCGCACCCAGCAGCTGCACACACATCAATTCGGTGAATAGTAATTTTGAAGAAAATTAATTTTTTAATTTTTTTTTGGTGAATAGTAATATCTTTTAGATTTTAGAATAACTTTTTGACTTATATAGATAAGCCAAACCAGCCCTAAATCCCGCCGAACCATTTCCCCCTCGGCCCTCACGGACAGGACAGGACAGGAGTGTCTCACTAGCTATCTCTCAATCACAGCCGCCCATCAGCGAAGTCGCATCCACCGGCGAGCGAGGAGCGATGGCTCACCAACAGCCGTACGATCCATACTACCTCCACCAAGCACCGGAGTACAGGTTCAACAACGATCGCAACGGCATCAACACCCTCTTCGTTTCGGGCCTCCCCGACGATGTCAAAACCCGCGAGATCCACAACCTCTTTCGCCGCCGTTCTGGCTTCGATTCTTGCCAGCTCAAGTACACTGGTCGCGGCACCCAGGTTGTTGCTTTTGCCACCTCTTTCCCGAGAAAATGCGTGTTTTTGTTTTCATTCTGTTTGGTTACTGGGAAAGCCGGGGAGAATAGAACGAATACCCTGCTTCAACTTATCATGACTTTTAACTGAAAAATTTGTGTTTTGGATGCGTTTGATTGCGTTTTGTTTTCCTACATTTGCTTTGAGACCAAAATGAGCGATTTGTGTTTTTGTATTTTGATGATTTAGGGGCTTAGGGTAGAACTATTAGACAAAAGAGAAGAAACTGTTACAAGTTTCATTATCAAGTTTTTATCTTTTTAGTGAATTTTGGCATTATAAAGGGTCACACTTGTTTGGATTGAGGTGTTTAGGGAGAAAAGAAAAGAAATGAAGAGAATGTTGGTTTTCATCACTTCTTTGGATGATTAATGAAGTGAGAAATGGTGAATAAAGACAAATTCTTGAAACTTGGGTTTTGTTTATGTATGAAAAGGGTTCGAGAAGGTCCTATGGAAATAGAAGGGTGAGGTTAGAGATGATCAATGGTAGCCGTGTAACTCAAGAAATGGAGAAGAAGAAGGATAGATGGTTGGGTCAAAAGAGGAAGCGAAGAGGCTAGAGAGAGAGAGAGAAATGACATAGCTCCCATGAGATCCTCACTTTCACCTCTCAAGAATGAAGAACTATGGATGGGTCTCCAATTTCATTTTATTCATCCTCTTGAAGGCTGTGAGTGGGTGCATATTTATAGGCTACCCAAGAGTTACTCCCTGAGAAGGTTGTAACCAATCAAGGTTGAGCCCATGTGCAAGCACATGTAAGTACATGGGGAAAGATCTCTCTAACCGCCTTGTCCGATGAGGTCGCTTTCCTGAGGACATCTTATTATTTCTCTAGATATCCACGAGAATGATGAAACCTCAAGAATATTGCTAACTTTTCAGCGAACCTTTCTTGTTAGCCACTCCAAACCAATAATCCCCAGGGGTAGCCTAAGAGGACGTCCTGCTGCAAATAATGCCAAGTCCGATGGACCCCTCGGGTCATGCCACCATGACTTTGAGTATAGACTAGTTTAACTGAAGCGTGAATTTATCTTCGAACTCACCGTCTTCGAGATCGGGTTCTTTATTTGGTCTCGCTACACTTATGGTTTTTGTGTGTCGATCTCGGAAATAGCTTCGAGCCCACAAGTATTCTGGGACTCATTTATGGAGTGACTTCTAGATTGCTTTGAATTCGTTCGAAGCCAAATGATTTGGATGTCTAGGTTTGCTTTCCAACCCTTTCGAGTCCGACCTCAAGAGATCTCTAGGTTTGTGAGTCCAAACCTTTTGGAGTTAGAGCGCAGAATCGGGTCTTGTTTGATTTGTCTCTTGAGAGACTTTTTGAGAAAAAATTTCAAAAATTTGTTTGGTTGAAAATTTTTGAAAAAAAATAAAAAATTCAAAATTACTTTTCTCTCTACTATATATTAATCAATCACTTTATTTCTAGAACATATATCTATCTCATTAGTTTGTGAAGTTATCAACTTATTCAACTTGTTGAAATACAATTTTTATGTTTTCTAACCAAAAACTCAGTAATAATCATTCTGTTATTGATTTTCATTTTTCTTGTACATTTTTTTTCCTTTTCCCCATCATGTTCTCAATATGGGTTTCAAAATATATACATAAATTGTTGCTTGTCATTTAAGTGCTGTCCTGATTTAATTAGAGAATCATTGTCACTAGGTGAGAAATTATAGTAATTTTCTTTATTTTC